AATTTACAATTTGTTGCGTAATATATTTGTATTATTATTTTTTAGAAATATATTTTTAATTATTATTTTTATTACTTACATGATACACAAGTTAGTTATATTTTTCTACATAATGTTTTGTCTATGAGTTAGTTTGATAAAAGAATGTATGAATCTCTTATTTTTGTACATAATAAAAACAATGTAGTAACAAGAATAGTGTTGTAAATATAACATTTCTTAGTTGGCATGCTTATGTAATTTCATAAATATAATTTTTCTTTTACTTTAATTATTTTACAGCCAAATAAGAGAAGAGAAAAGTTATAAATTTCTTTCCTTCATTTTTATTTTAAATCAAACAACCTATTTTTCACCTCACTTTCTCCTCCTTTTCATTTCTTGAACTTTCTTTCTTTTCTTTTCCCCTTCAATTTTCCTTTCTGAGTCAAAAAGAGTATAAATAATTAATACCAGAAGTTTGTCTTTTGACAATGAACACAATTTAATTTTGGAGTACATCCGTTTGGTATGAATTATGTTTTTAGTTTTAGTTTATAAATTATAAGATTATAATCTGTAAAAATTATAATATGTTTATGTTTGGGTACTTTAGCTGAAAATTGATTATAAACTAATCTGTTTTGTTTGGGTAAGGTATAAAGATTGTTTTTTACATAGTAAATTATATAAACGAGTATGGGGTTATTTGTTTATGTTATGATTATTTTGGTTGTTTTTTACATTATTTTTTAAATATAAATTTTTAATATTTACCATCATTTATATTTTTACTATAAATTTTTTAATTTTTAATATTGCGTAACAAATGCTAAAAAAATATATTAAAATAAAATACAATATAAAAATCAATATCAATATTAAAAACATTATAACACACAAATAAATAGAAGTTGTTAAACTTGAATTACATATAAAAAATAAATAATACACAAATGTTATGGAGTGTGGTAGTCATGATGTGAAGACTTGTGGTGTTTGGTGTAAGAGTAAAAAGGAAGAGAGATAAAATTATGATGTGGTAAAATGAGAAGTGCAAAAATTGGAAAAGTAAGCTAATAAAAAATAAACCAACTCATTATTTTAGATATTCTACTTTTGAATTATTTTTTTCAAAAAAAATCCGAGTTATAATTTCATTTGTTTGCAAAATAATAATCTATACTGCGCTAAGTCTCAAATCAAATAAAGAAAGTAGGAGCTTGGAACTTCAAAGAACATTTTTCACCGAGTAACATGCAAATAAGGGGAATTTACTGAAAGATTTAATTTTGAGGCGACTGTTGGATTTAGACTTGGTATCCTTTTTCCGATCCAAGATACAATGATTAATTCAGTAATTAAACTTTATACTCATTAAATTATATATATATATATATATATTATAATAATATAATAAATTTATAATTATAAGCATTTCTATATGCATCATATAATCAATTATTCAACGATATAATGACTCACCTTGCTATGAAATAAAGTTCGAATAATCGATCTATTGTTTTGAAATATATGAAATATTTTCATATATAAACCAATTTTAATTAATACAATATTTTAATTTTTAAATGATTTAATTACATCTCTAATATAATTGTCATATCATACTAAAATATGATCGATTTTATGGTTGAATTGACATATACCATACTGGGAGTTATTGTTTAGAGGACTAACCCATTAATGGGGCATAAAGTGATGTTAGAGTTTTTACTACTACAGTCATCTTTTAGCTATGCTAATTAATTAATACTATAAAATCACATGTCACATATTTATGCCAAGTCAAATTATCATTTTTTTCTAATGTACAAAGTTTTATGATATTTGAAAAAATAATACTCATTGTTCGGTCTTAATTATTTTATCCACCAAGATGTTAAGACCAATTTCTTAAATCATGAAAACATGATACATGAGGGGGGAAAACAAGCAATGTAGGCCTTTGTATACTTTACAATATCTAGAATACATGTCAACTTAGAAATAAGATTATTTTTTAGAATAAAAGTTTTCACATGAATAATGAAAGGTTATAAATATATAAACCAGTAGTAATTAGTATGCATACACCGGGACCATAACGTACGATACATGGGACCAAAAACCTGAACTTGATAATAACTAAAAAACAGGGAACCACTACTCAACTTCTTTTGGAACTTTTGAGTTTAGTTGGTCTTACATAATTCAAGTAAACACTATTGTTTATATTTCTTGGGTGAACAGATACATGTCCTATATCTTTATAATTATTATTGTTTTTTTCTTATTATCCGGCGCGAGACAGCGTACCAGATATGATCTGATACAACATATCTTTGTTATTCTTGGATATATAATGTATCACTTAATAATTCTAAATATGAACTTTTTCCTCAAGTGCACCATGTACTTTAGAGAGGCAGAATCGAAGTTATGAAAATGTGTATTTATTTGGATAAAATATGACTTTCTAATAGCCACCCACTGTTTCAATGATAGATAGGAATTTGTTTTCTTTCTCGATCATCAAATATCACCTCTAATTCCATCATCCCAACATGACATGATGTAGGTGTATGAGAATCTCATGAGAACATGTTGTCCAAAAGTGTAGAACATAGTCAACCAAAACAGTGAGAATCCAACTTAAAAGTTCAAAGTTCAAACCATGGATTTGACAGTAATTGAGAATCTCATTTAATTTGCAACTCCTCCTTGCATTGCTAAAGGTGTTATATTCTGACATTGGATGATGGAAGCAATGTAGTACACACATGGAGGCATGTGATTGTGTCCATTTTCATACAAAAAAGTTAGTGTTATATGGCCCAACCCTTTTGCATGTTTTTAAAAAGGCTATGCTATATACTTTTGATTTTATAGGCCATGAAATATATTATGATAACATAAGGATGCTCAACCCAATATAAAGAGATAATTATAACAAAAAAGTTAAGAGAAATTTACAAAGAACCATTTAATTCTCAAAATAGAATCCAAAATTTCCTTCTCTTTTTATCATTTTTCAAGGCCATATGCTTCTTGAAGTGTTGCATGCACTTGTTAGGTCAAGAATACACTAAGACCGAAACATTTGCAACCACATGGCTATTTTATAAAGAGGTAATCAACATTCTCTACATGATTTCATATAACTATTTTAAGTTCGCGACTTTTATTTGATATATGTAATAACTTTAATTTGATTTTTGCCATTACAATATTTTATCTGTGAAAAAAGTTATTTAATTAATTATGACACCTTAGGTATGAGAAGTTACAAAAGATTCAATAGAAGTACAAGTGTGTGGATATAAATTTGGCTAGGAAGGATAAGATGCTGAGCTTTTGCAGGAGTTGTCCTCCCAATCAAGGTAAGACATTACAAGTTTGCCGCTATTTGCTTTGATCTAAAGTTAATATTTCACCTTCAAGATCTCCACTATTTGTTGGATACTCATCTTGGAAGAATTAAAAATGACGTTGTTTCTTGTAAGCTAGATTGAATAATGAATAATGAATAAGACGTGGAATATATATATTTGGACTTTTTCTTCTTTAAAGGAGAATATACAATTTATTTTTTGAGCAATATTATTATTAATTGCAATAGAGATGAATAATAGATGGCTTGAAATATCTCTAACATTGGGATATAGAGTACATACCAAGGGTCCAACATGCTAGACAACACCTTTAACTATTTTGTCCACCAACCAAGGTTGATTAGTGCAAATGATAATCATCTCCATTAATTAAAAGAGAAATATATCAAAAGTAAAGGAAATAAACAATGTGATATGACATTTTTACCCCTTAAAATATAATAATATGTCATTTATCTCTTTAAAACTAAGAGTAAAATTAACAATTTTCATCTATAGTAATGGAGAAGAGTATCATAAAGTCAAGTCTTGATCATGAAAATGAGACAATATATGTGATTTTGTATATCCAAGTTCCCAAGCTAGCTTCAATTTTCAGTGATTTGCTTCAACACTTAAAAAATAATAATACTATATTTAAGACAAGAGCCAGACTCCTCTCCATTATTGGAGAGGAAAGTTAATTTTTGTAATGTATTTTGAAGGATAAAAATGTAATATTAGTATAAGTTAAAAGGATAAAAATATTATTGACTTTTGATTTTTCTATGTGTTTTTATATAACTTTCATTTCCAGTAATGGAGAGAAGTCTAACTCTTAAAAAGACAATCACAAAACTTGTGGGCACCATACCCCCTTCCCCAAAAAGCTGGCGTATGAATAACAAGACTACTAGAGTAATGTTGGATTTTATACATTTATTATTATTATCTCATATTATGTATTTACTCATCATTTTATCATTTAAATAAATTTAGGTGATAATTAATTCAAGCCAAATAGACATTATCAAAATAAAAACTATGACTATAATAAACACAGCATGAAATCCAGTTTGCCCTAAAATCTAAATATTAAGTTCTCTTTCTCCCTCCCTCTATGTGTCTATGACTTATCTCTATACTCCCTCAAGATTTGGATGAAGCCATGCATAAGAAACTTAAAACAAACCATCATATGTTAATGCGCCAAATAAAATTGAAGAAACAAAAAATGAAACCCACCTGAAGGAAACAACAAAAAAGAAGGGTAGCAGAAAGAGTCACCTGTTTTGTAAAATGATGCTAGAAGTAGAATCACTCTCAATGACAAAACTCTCTTTTAATGTATCAAATATTTAACACATTTACATTCTAACCTCCATCACAAGGTTCTTTTCTTAGCGTTTGTTGGACCAGACTATGACCGGGAAGTCTCCAACCACTAGGGAGTTCCATTGTTACCGGGGTATGGGAAGAGTGGAAAGTCACAAGTGAGATACCACATCTTGAACCAAAACCTTAAGTCATTAGTTCCATGGGCCTTTTCTACTTATAAACTATTTTACTCCTCCCCACATATCCAATGTGAGACTTCACACTTGAATAAACCCAACAGTATTGAATCACTTGTTCAACACTTTAAAGTCATTTATGGCCGATGCAGCATCATCAAGATTCTCACTCTCAAAACACCAATGGAATGAGAAGAGCACAAGAGTCCTACCCATAAGCATTTGCATGTGAATCTTGATGATGCTACATCAGCAAACAACGACTATTAATATCTGTCCATGCAATTGTAGATGCTATAGTGAAAAGAGTGTATATATATATATAGAAGATTGCATAGCATAGCATTATTAATTACCAATCTCATCGAAACTAATAATATGGCTAGAAAGCTTTATAGCTTGCTCAAAGAGTATAGACCAATCTCACGGAAAAGAAAATAAAAAAGAGGGAACAATATGAAAGTAAGAGAGTGAATAAAAAAAGAAACTAAGTACAAGGGTAATTGAGAAATTTGTGATATTAATGTGCAATAGGAACAAGGCCACGAGGAGTAGCTGACGTGGCTTATTGCCATTGGTTAGTATGATTTGGCACACAAGGCCCATTGTGTACCTAAGGGAATCTCTCTACCCTTGATGAACTCATTCACATTTCGACAAACAAAAAAGGCAAAATCCGAAAACCCTAAAATTTTAAACAAAAAAAAATTTGAAATCTTCCAACTGGTTCAATGATCATTCCACAAAACAGAATTTGAACTGGTTCAATGATCATTCCACAAAACAGAATTTGAAGCTAAGAAAATAAGTATTGAGAAAGTTCCTAGAATGAAATAAAATTACATTCATTACCTTATCTATTTGGCCAACCAAATATTTCATATAGTGACGAACCAAAGTAACATTCATTGTTGGTTGCACTTTTTGCTCATCCTCATCATATTAGCATGTAAAAAAAAGTTGTTCTTGACATCATTAGAGATAACAGATATAATATTATTTCTTAGAACATAAGAATCCATATCCAATAACTTCTCTCAACAATTAAGGATGAAGAACAAGACTAAGCAAGAAGAAATAATACTTTTTATTATATTGAAAACTTGGAAAAGAATGTACATTTATAAGCATACAAACCAAAGCTTAATAACAAAAAAACTAAAATAACAAACTTATTGTTATGTATAACAACCAAGCTAAAACAACACAAAAAATAGTAGCTTGAGTCCCAAGCAATAAACTGCTCTGCTGCCCATGCCTCTGCTGACCAAGAAAAGCAAAGCAGCAGCCTGACTGAGCTTGGCTTTGCTTCTGGTGTGCCTGACTTAGCTGTTGGTGCACTTGACTAAGCCTTTGGTGCATCTGGCCTGACTTCTGATGCATCTGTCTTGGCTTCTGGTGCATCTGTCTTGTCTGCTCTGGTGCATCCTGACTCAGCCTTTGGTGCATCTGGCCTGACTTCTGATGCATCTGTCTTGGCTTCTGGTGCATCTGTCTTGTCTGCTCTGGTGCATCTGGCTCAACATTTGTCTCAGCACCTGGCCTAGCATCCAAGACATCTGGCTTGGATTCTGACCTGGCTGGCTTAGCATCTGACTTAGTTTCTGACCTAGCATCCATGGCACATGATTTAACATCCATGGCATCATCATTTGGCTGCATCAACCTACAAGAATGAGACCAATTAGAAGTGACCAAGTTTAATATTATTAAAGATATTTTAGAGTTTTTTGTAGGAGATGATTAGGTGGTTAGGTGGTTAGGTAGTTAGGAGTTAAAGATAGTTTGTTAACTTTGAATCATCCACTTTTGCTTGAATCACAAGCCATTTCATTTTGTATAAATAAGCCATATTGGCTTTACATTTCAATCAATGAGAATGAATTAATTTTCCTTGTTTGTTTTCTTTCTCATCTTTCTTGTTCACCAAATAAGATCTTTTCCACATTTTCTTCTTGCTCTATGATTTTCAATATGGTATCAGAGCATAATTATTTCTTATCATCGCTTCCGCTTATGCATTCGTCCATTCCAAGATTCAACAAAGAATCATCCTCATTCGCTTTTTCAAGATTCTATGTCATGAAGAGCCATTCTTGCAACATCTTCAACACTTTTCTTCATTCTTCATTATCTGCCAAGTATTCAAGAAATGAGATGGAGGCACTGAGGTTGGTGAATATGGACCAGAAAAGCATGTTATGGAAATCAATATTCAACAACCTTCAATCTCGCCATATTGCTAAGGCATATCAAGCTTTGGCTGCAACATCTTGCACCAAGAGCATACTCTTCATAGAAGCAAGTTTTATCTTCATAATTCTGTTATTTCTATGCTACTTTTATTGTTGTGTCGTTTGGTGAAGAAGAGGAATGGTTTAGTTTTACAAGAACACCAAGAATTGGTATTGCTATGAGAAAGTTATTAAAGATAGTTTAATAACTTTGCATCATCCATTTTTGCTTGGATCACAAGCCATTTCATTTTGTATAAATAAGCCATAATGGTTTTACATTTCAATCAATGAGAATGAGTTAATTTTATATGACTTGATAGATATTGGTTGGTTGTGACATAAATAGGGATAAGATTTGGAGACAAAAGATCCTCATACCTATTGACCTCCTTTATCGTGGATCCATATCCATCCATCTCTACTCTCTAGAGTCTTGTTGAAGTCTTGTAGCTTCCCAACCATCTAAATAAATCATTCATTTTGTATGCAATTTTAAGAAATTATGTTTTTTTTTATTTTCACTACATTTTTATTGAGCACACACAATTATTATTATTTGTGAGTTCATAAGCAATCAAATTAAAATTAATTAAGTAAACTAATTTCCGATATAAATGAATATAAGCAAAGAAGTTCACTAAATTGTATCTATTTCCGCATAGAATATTGTTCTTTCAATTTATTCATGGTTTTCTTTCCTTTCTCAATTTTCTTCATAAAATAATAAGGAAGTCTAGATTTTTGTGGGGGCCCATCCATATTTTTTTCTTTCAACCAAATGATGAAAAATTACATTTTCCACTCATTTTCTTTCCTCTTCTTTTCCATATATAGAAACAAACATGCCTAAATCTTAACTAAAATTATCAAAGATTTGCTAAGCCTACTACCTTGAGAGATGGAACTCAAATACCCAATACAAGCAGTATGACATGTCTCACTTATGGATAGTACCTTTTGCCAATTTATTTCTATGTAAGTTCTCATTCATAATCAATAGTAGCAACAAACCCATGCCATTACTATACCAATCTTTTTCACAATAAATACATAAGTTATAGCATATGCATTTCAATTTTCAAATTTGATCTCACTGAATATCCTTCATCCATTCTAGCGGTTCATAAATTTAATTTATTGTGTTCATGAGTCATAAATGATAAAGTATACACATATTATGAGTCATAAATGATAAAGTATACACATATTTTAACAATTAAACTAGAGTTCCTTAAAAGCTTCGGCTATGATCTAAAATCCTATTCCATTATATGTTTTTGGGTAATTATTGCTGTCAGTGGTTACACTGCATGCTGCTACAATGTTTATTATATTTCATACCAAACATAGCCATAGAAAGAAGTTTAAAATTGTATTGGAGGGAGAAGGGAAAAAAAGAAGGAAGCAATGTTTATGTTTGTTGTCCTTTAAACTTTAGAAGTTATATATTGACTTGCCCTTGACAAAAATATCTTAGTTATGAGCTACATGTCTCATACTCTTTTTAAGAAAACTTTGGTATAAGCTAAGGTAGTCTCTCATATGATATATTAGAAATTGAGAGAAGCAAGTGAGAAATAATTTTCCACATAATTAAACTCGAGATATACCAAAATGTCAAAGGTCTGATTTCTCAGAATGACGCTTGTTGGCAGACAATCACTCACCCCGAGAATAGTTAATTCATTACTCATAGAATGAGGAAATACTCTTAAAAAAACTGGAGATGTAATTAAAAATGATAAAATGGACCAATTTGATCAGACTTGTCCAAATTGGCTCAATAGATGAACAAACATCAAGGACAAAATATAAATATTAACAAATCCCAAGCTATCTTGGTCCAGCTTGATAGGGCCTAAACTCGATTAGTCCCTATTTTGAATGTGGTCGGGCAACAAAACAAAACAAAAAATGATAAAGTGTAAAAACAAGTGGGACATTGGACTTAGACATTCAATTTATAACCTGTTTTGACTAAGCTACTCTGATTTGTGGATGTGGGCAATGCTGCCAGCCTAATAGAAGATTGTTGTGGTTCATTTTATAGTTTTCCAACCAACTTGATGGGTGGTAAACACAATAAATAAACATATTTATGATCATATATAAAAATGTGTTAATTGTATTTAATTCTTACAATGACTGATAACTGTAATGAAGAATATCACAAGAAACTCATAACTAGATTACTATATAATCGTCAATGTTCTTTAAATGCGTTCCCCAATTGCTTGACAATGTCTAAGTCATTTTTCACAAAAATGAGTCTCGGTTAGAATATTCTTATTTTCTCATTTTATAAATAATAAGAAGTTTTTCTCATATATTATTTATAACATTTTCAGTGTTTTTCAACCAATAATTTTGCATCTCGAACGTGGTTTTTTCATACAAATGACATAAATCAGTGCTTAAGAAACTAAGTTTTTTGTGTCATGTAATATTTGAGCATAAATATAAAAGAAAATACTTGTGGAGCAAAAAAACATTGGCTGGGTGCAATAAAATGAACTCACGAGCATCCTCAAAGTAAATAATTACTACCTCCAATGAGTGCAAAATCTCTGACTTCATCAGTTATTGATCACGAGCCTATTTAAGGCACTTAGTTCCAAACCCTTCATAACAAAGTAGCATAAAATCTCTTTTAAACCTCTCCATTCATAAACTCAAATAAGAGAGTATAGAATTTCAAAAAGAAAAAGAAAAAAGAAACTCCAATTAATGTCTACTACACATTTCTCCCTTGTGATACTATGCCTCCTTCTTTCACTAAATTATCTTAGCATAACAATGGGTGGAAGGATCATTCCCCCTAGTGCACCAAGTACAGTTACAAGGCCATTAGTTTCATCAGAAGTTGAAACTTATGTGAAGCCACATTTGGATCACAAAGAGAAAATCTTTAAAGGAAGAGAAGTAAAAGGTTGTTTACCAAAAGGGTCTAGGCATAACTCAGCTCCTAGCAGATTTGTGAACTATAAGATACTTGGTTCTGGTGGTTGTTCTGGAATGCATAA